AGGGGGTTGGGGTTGGGGTTGGGGCTGGCACTGGGAGATCCCAATGTCAAAAAAAAAAGGCATTAGAAAAAATCAGGGTGGCACACACAGCAGCAGCATGCGCCACCCAAAACCAAAGCCTGGCCAGCTGGAGCCACACTCCAGTTGCCGACCCGGCTCCCTTCTGCTGGAGCTTCAGGAAGCCCCCAAGTTAGGCTGCTGGGGCCAGCCCAGGTGGGCCTACCCAACCCGGGGCAACTTGCCACATTCCAGAGTGCACTTGCACAGGCATTCCTTGGGGACAAGTAGCAGTAGCACAACTTTGTGCTGCTGCTATTTGTCCCCAGGGAAATGCATGTGTGCGCTCATCCGGACATGCTCATGGAGGCCAAGCTCAATGCTTGACATGGACACTCTTCTTTTGCTTTTTCATTGTGGTCCTCACCACTTTCTGCCAGTAGTGGCTAATAATTTAGCTAGACTTTGGCTCTTTTTCTCTTGCTGATCTTCAGAGCAGAGCTATTGTACCTGTCAAATTTACTGGAATGATATGGAATGGATACTTTGATTTTCCAGGTCATTGATTAGTCCCCTGCTTGAGTGAAGCTGTCATGAAAAAGGCCAACGATAGGTTACCACTTCCCTTTCCCTCCTTACTTCCTTCCCTTGCCACTATGTGAGTTACACTGGTGCCACCAGCATTCCCATGTACTGGGCAACTATATGCAATGAGATGTTTGCTGCTGATGGTGATATCTATTCTGGCTTCAGTGCTGAGGACCCACCTTGCAAATGCCAATAACTACAATCAGAATCTTGACTGAAACAGATACAGAGCCTATCCTTCCAAAAGGATCCGAAGCATTTTATAGACTTTTTTTTTCATAGTTTCTAGGGTCGGAAGGGACCTGAGCAGATCATCTAGTCTGACCCCCTGCCATGGCAGAAAAGAGTACTGGGGTCGCTTGACCCCAGTACTCTTTTCTGCCATGGCAGGGGGTCGGACTAGATGATCTGCTCAGGTCCCTTCCAACCCTAGAAGCTATGAAACTATATAAACTATAGAGTGGAATTCACTCCATTGTGAAGAACTACTACAATGCCATTGCATAATTATAATTCTGTTGTCAGTACTTATGTGGGACTTTAGTAGTATGAAGACCTTGTGGGGTCAATATCACCACTTGCAAACAGGAAAAAAAAAGCCATACTGGGGAAGAAAAGGTGAAAAAAAAAATCACATTGGTTTGGCCTCACTATGCCTACAAGAAAAGAGTTTTCACAGGCAAACTCAATTCCATCCTCTCTTTTTTTCCCTATGAAAAAAATTTTTTTCATCTGGATCGAATGTGCATTTTGGCAATAGATTCCAGTGTGGAATTTCTCTTTTTTTTTTTTCCTTCCACCAGCTGACAGGAAATGGCAGAAAACATCACCCCTGGATCAAATCTGTAAATTCTCCTAAGAAGCTGTTGAAGGCTGGACGTCCACCAGAAGAACAATGTCCAGATCTTCTAGGGGGGCTATTAAGAGAATCAAGGCTTAGGCTTCAGCTTGATTTTAACCACGAGTATCTTTTGAAAGTGCACAAATAGTTGTGGTTATAGACCTTGACTTGCAAACAGTTGCAGCATCTGCCAATCTGACCCTTCACAGATAAAATACCACCTCCTCAGCACAAAAGCTGCCACTCATTGCTCCTGCCATTATGTTTCTAAACAGGAAGGCCAAACATTAAATAGACCATGTGAGACCAAATACCCCTTTTTCCAATTAGATGGGGTGGTTTTAAGGCAGGGCTAGAACACTTTGGTGGCGCTTTGTTGGTAATGACCCACCCCAGATCACAGGTGGGTGG